GCGGAAAAAGGATTAACAACGGGCCAAGGGTCAGGGGGGCAGTGCAAAAATCGGAGCAAAGAGAGCAGCGAAGAGTGCACAGTATCAAACGACAAGAGTCGCATCGTTTGAATGTATTAGTTTGCCCGCAAAGTGTGAGTGCAAAAGACAAGCAGCCTGCAGGTGGCTACCGATTTGTTGCCTTCTTTGTAGCCACAGTGGGAACTCCATAAGTTCAAATTAAAAAACATATTCAATAGTTTAATTTTATAATAAAACGTTTTCTATAATTTTTCTCAAGAGGAGTTAAAACTGATAAGATGTACATTTTTTGATATTCTACAAAAAATTACATCTTGTTAGTGATTACTGTACATTTGTATCCTTTGGTATTTGTGCTTTTGTAGGTGTTCGTATGCTTGTATGCATGCAGAAGGCAGAGGGATCCAGAAGGGGGAAATGAGACAGACAAACAGACTTTCAGAGGCCAGACAACCACAACAACAACAACACCGCAGTCTTTTTGGCGCGTGACGTCGAATATTCGAAGCCGGACGGAACGGAACGGAACGTCGTTCCATGGCAGATGGCAAATTGCATTATTATGCGAGTGTCTGCAATCTGCACAACCAGAACAACAACAACAACAGCAGCAACGACAGAAGCAACATCAACACAAAAACAAAGTGCAACAAAATAGGGAAAAAAACAACAAACAATATTTGGACGCTGCATCCATTGGCATCGGTCCCTGAATCGGAATCGGAATAAGAATCGGAAAGTCTCGCTTCGGTTTTCCATCGTTCGGTCGATTAGAAATGTAGGAGTGGCAATGGTGGCCTGGGTGCTTTCGGTGGCGATGGGTCATTTTTGCAGGGATTACATTTCGTTTTGTTCAAAAATTAATAGAATTTCATAAGCTTTTTCGGTTGCGTCGCTGTCTCTTTCTCTTTTTCTAGTTTGCTCTCTGTCCTTCGAATAAGCCTGTCTCGCTTACTCATTGCAGCACTCTCTATCATCTATGTAGCTATCTCTTACGCTCTCTATTTGCCGGCTCACTCTTTCAAATGTTAATTTGAATTTTTATTAGGTTTTAGGCATGCATTGTTGTTGTTGCTTCTGCCTTTCCACTGCTGTTGTCATGCATTTTATTTTCACTTAAAACTGCAATTGTTGGGGGGCCTTTGTTGTTGCTGCTTTTGGGGGGCCTCAGTCACTGTCGGTGCCTCTGCCGGCGTCGCTGCTGTCATCGTTGAAAGTGCGACTGCGTTAGAAAATTGTATTTGATAATACTAAACACACGGACAGCACACTCTGCTATAGTCGCAAACATATAGAAATCGCTTTTTTTAGGTCGTGGGCTGGGCAGAAACGAAATGGGCAAAATAACTCAAACTGCCGTTGTACTTTTCGTTACGTTACGTTCTCTTAATACTTAAAGTTCGGCTACGTTACGAGTCCTTAGGGTGCTGGGAAATCAAGAAATAGTTGATTCTTAAGCACTGAAGATAAGTGTCTTGCAATTAGACTTTGGAAGCCACAAAAATCTTTAAAGATTTTTCGGTCAGTTTTAGTTTTAGGAGATCTTAAACTTGAAATTTGGTTTCTTGAACTGGGCATCTTTCTTTATAGATTTTTCAGTTTCTGTCGTATGACTTAAAGCTTCAATTTATAATTAACCACGATCAAAACATCAAAAGCAATAAAAGCATTTTAATTTAAATTTAATATATGACAAAGCTTCCTCTTTAAAAAACTTGTTTTACGCAGTAGGAAATAGAGATACCTATTAAAACTTTATTACGTTTAATAGAATACGTATTTTAAAAACGGCATTAAATTGGTTTTCATATTTTGAATAATAAACTTTTTTACAAGTAAAAACTCACTATTTGATGTAAATTAAATATACAAAAGAACAGTCTGTTTTCTATGCTTCTTCAAGTATGTATTTCCGAGTGACCACTGTAAGGCACCCCCTAAAAACGCAAATGTTTACGTTGGCTTACGTTTTGAAAAGGTGTCGTTATAAGGTTCTCGAAGAATAACGGCAAATATTATGATGAGAGTATTTGTACAAATCGATGTAGCTATGAATATTCCGCTTAAATCCTTTGCTCCTGCAATAATATTTTTGAAGGATATATTTTTTCTGTTTTTTTGTTATTTTTTGATGATTTTACATGGCAGGTAGCTTTGAGAAAGTGCCACATCATTTTCATTTTCCCTGCACTTTCCGTGCACTTCTGTGAGCGATTTACTGATTTTGTGATTTTCTGATTTTGTGCCAACTCATGTGGCAATCGCGACTTTGGGCCAAGGCGCCGTCGGCGAGTGAGAAAGGCAACCATTGAACGAAATGGCCAAGTCCTCAGAGAGTCCTTTTCGGGCATTCCTTTGTTTCTTGGCCCGCTCCCTTTGGCCTTTCTTTTCGAGCGGAACTTCAATTACACATTTGCTCACATGCGAAAAAGTGAAAAGTCACTGGCCTGTCATGGCCCGCAAATCCAAATCTCATCTACCGACGGCATTTTTTTAGGGCCCTTTCAATCCCCTTCCCACCCCACAATTTTTACTGCCCATCATTGCATATCAGGCGGACTCTTGGCCACTTTGAAATCTCTTTTCATTTTTGATTGGAATTGTTGTCGTCCCGTTTGTGCGGGTCCTTGGCTAATGGCGATGGGCCATTTTATACCCTTTTTCGCAGGCAATAAAAACATTTTCCTCGTTTTTTTTTCGGCCACAAAATAATGAATAATATGAAGAAAAATACTTGCCCGCTCTCGGTTTTTCTTCATTTTTTGGTTCTGCCTTCTTGTGGAAAACAGAAAACGCATTAAGTGCGCGGTTTCCATTGTTTATAACATTTTTGCCACCCCACTGGAAAAAAACGGAGGCCAAGGGATAATTAAGAATGCTTATTTATCTAGAACGCAGTCACGGCGCCGATTGTCCAGCTCCCTTCCCAAATTTTCTGACCGCAGGGGGGCAGGAACCCCATGAAAAGGTTCGTAAAAAGCCAAAAAAAAACTTTTATTTTTTATGATAAATTATAAGGAGTGTGAGGGCAGAGGGGTTCTAGAAGGGGAACAGGGAATGAAAGGATGCGGAGAAGACGGCGCCAAGCAAAGGTCATTCGGAAGCTAAGTAGAGAAAGGAGGACGAGGCTGGAGGACTGATTTGAGACATGATGAAATGAAACGGAAATGATGGCTAAATGTACTTTTTTTCAACACTTTTTTAAGAATTAAACTTAAAAATAAAGGATAATGGATATTCCGAAAATATCATTAAATGTTACAAAATTAATATTATATTAAGTCAAATCCAAATGGGTCATAACGTAACACGTATTTATGATTCTAAACTAACCAATCGATTATTTTTCTTTAATGATATTTAAGGGCCTTAAAACTTAAGTCAAAGGTCACCTGTTCTTAGACACATTACCTCTCCACTAGCGACCCACAAGAGTTCAGCCTGCAAATGGTCATTCGGCTTCTGCCAAAGATTTTCTCCGCTAATTAGCCGGGGCCGAAAGTTGGCGAGTTGAAAATTACCCAACGTGAAAAAATCTTAGAAACCGAGCTGGAACTGGAATCGATGCCGGTGGGCAGCAGCAGCAGCTACAGCTACAGCGGCAGCGCACACGCAAATCACTTGTTTTTATGTAATTAACTGCTCAGCCCCGCCAACCCCCTTTGGAGATTTTGTACCCCGAAGGTTAACGGAGATTTGGCCTGGGCCTTAGTCCGGGTAATTAACCAAAAACCGATCGCTTCTTACTTTGTGTTTTTTTATTTTTGGCATAATTTCCAGCTTGGCGTTTTGCGTTTTTGGCTTGTAAATCTTTGTTAACTTGGTTTAGGTGTTAGTGGTTGGTCTTGGTTTCTCAACCGTTCAATGACCGATAAAATTGCCTCAACCATCGCGACCAACTCGACCGATGCCTTTTAGCGGGCTATTGATTATTAATATTTTGTATTTCTTTCTTTCTAGCCTTTTTCTGGTTAGTTGTCTTCCCAACACACACATTTTTTACCATTTGCTGTAATTACAGCGACGCGTTAATTGTTCGCCTCCTCTCTGCACTCGGCATTCCCCTTTTTGTTTCCCAGCATCCCCATGTTGCCACACATCTATTTGTGTTTGTTTTCAACGCCGGTGAAAAAACAGCGAGGCGAGGAATCTACACTTACGCGGTGGTTTCAGGTATCGAAGACCCCCCAACTCCGAATCGAAAATCCAGGCAAGTTCATTAGCTGCTATTACCATTATTGGCCATACTGCTATGCTGCTGCCACTGCCTCGCATAAGTTGGCAATTACTGCACAAAATTCCCCCCGAAAACATTTTCCAACACAAAATCTAAAAGATTCATTTATCAAATCGGAAGAGGACACACCATTTGGTGGGGACTGTCCTCAACGACCGCCACACCAATCATAAAAAGTATCTTAAAATTTTTCAAAAGATTCACACATTTTGGTTTGCTAGTTTTTGAGTTTTTTTCAAAATGTTAACGCCTTTTGTAAGTCAGTTTTTTCTGTAAGCCATTAACTTGGCTTTACGATCACCCAGAGAGATCGCAAATAAAGATCATGGTCATAAAAGATTTGTTAACCTAAATCAGTTTATGTTAAACAAAATCAAAGACTGAAACACAGGGCCATTTAAGAGCTAAACAAGCGAGAAAGTTCTAGTTTACTGTATTTTTATTGCGATTTGAACTAGTTAATATGGAAAATGATTTGGCTTTGATTTAAAGTAATTAAGATGGAGGTAAGTTATCTTTTTGATGACAAAGTTTTGATATTCTCATTTTAATATATGCTTTTCAAAATAAGTTATAAAAAACTTATTCTAAAAAAAGTTTCTGTTTTAATTCAGAACCGAGAAATATCCCTTAGCTTATGTTAAAAAAGAGTTCACTTTACCGTAAAAAGTGTTTTACCCAAGTTTATCAAAAAGTGTTGAATAAATGAAAGGGTTAAAATAAATATTTTTCCGAAACTTACCAACTTTACTGTTGTTTCTTCCAATTTTCTTGGAATTTCCCAATGATTGCAGAAGAGCGTCGCTGATTTTGCTGATGCTTTGGCGCAATTGTAAAAATTTGAACACTTTTGAAACACTGATGGTTATTTTCCAAGGATTTCCCTTTATGAATTCGTTTTGTTTGTTTTTTTTTATCTGGGACTTTTAGCACTATTTTGGTTAGCCGATTTAGAATTTAGTTTGATTATTTAACACTGCACAACTGCAATAACAACAAGAATAAATAAATGAGAATCAAGGGCAAAAACAGAAAGCGTTTTCTCCTGGATTTTCCGAGAAGCCGAGAAATAGAAGAAAGACGCCACAACAAGGAGAAGAAGAAGAAGTCGTCGCGCTGCACTTGCGTTTTCTGTTTTTTTCTCTTGCTTTTTTCGCAGCAAGTTTCGTGTTCTGGTTTTTTTTTCTGATTCTGATTGTGATTGTGAATCTGGTTCTGTGTGAATTTCGTTTTTATTAATAAAATGCACAACTTCCGTTATTAATTTTGCAACGACAACAATTGAGGCATGTGTGTGTGTACGCTTGTGTGTGTGTTTGTGACAAGCGCTGACAGGCAGGCGAAAAGCAAAAGCAAAGGCAACAAAGTGACGAGCATGAGCGTGTGTGTCGCCTAGGAAAAGCGAAAAGGAAACAAAAACAACATAACAAAAGAGCTAGAAAAAAATAGGGGCGGTGGGCGGCAAATCGAACGGGACAACCTGTCCGCTTTTTTTTCCCGCCGCTCTCCTTTATTTTGTGTTGTTTTTTTAACGCCCCCCTTTACTTCTGCGATTTCGCTCCTGTGCACGCGACTCGCTCCGTCTCGCTCTTTTGTTGGCGTTTTTTTTGTCGCTGTAGCTGCATTCATTCATAAAAATCAGGTTGTAAAAAAAGAACAACAACAACAGCAGCAGCAGCAAAAAAAATCGACTGGGATTTTATTTATTTATTTATGCCAATTTGCCGACGCGTTGCCGTTGCAATTTTGTTTTAGTTTTTCACTGGAAACTAGAATTTCACAAATTTTTAAGGAAAATAGTTAACACAGTTTGTTTTGGTTTGTTTTTTTTTAAAGTGTTTTTATGTTTGTTCCTTTTTTTTATCCAGTATTTATTTGATATTAACTTTGGTCTTATTGCAGTTTTGATAGTTTACTACCAAGCCATCAAAACATTGTGAAAATCACAAAAAATATTATAATTTAAGTGTTTTGTTATTTTTTTAATTGAAATATATATTTTTTTATTTTCAGTTTGTTTTTAATTTATAATTAATAACAAGAGTTTATTCAGCAGCAATTGCTGTTTTAATTTGTATCTTAATCTTGTATTTTAGCCGCACTTGAACCACGACACTTGCTGCCCGACTGATTTCTGAAAACTACGCGTAATAAGAGTCAAATCCGACGCCTTCGCCAGCTCCAAGTTCGAAGTTCCATGCGCGATGTTCGATGTCCGTTGTTTGGTGTTGCCTGGCAAACATGTTGTGTGCAACGCGTTCTTAGCCCCCTGCCCAAATGGTCCAACTCACACACACACTCATGCGAACATCGTTCGGACTATTATCTAAGCCATACAATCAGATTGTGTTTACTTTTCCAACCGGGCAAAGTGGCAAGGTGAAGACTGCAGAGAGTCCGGGAAGAAAGAAAGCCAACCAGCGTCGACCAATTGAATTGCAGAATTGCTCAAAAGTGTTTTTGGTAAGAAGAAGGCTAATATAAGAAGAAAAAGAAGAGAGGAGCAGTCTGAGTTTTTTGATTCATTGGGTGCTAAGTGCCAGAAAATGTGCCTCCTCTTATAAATTATAGTTACCATAAATAAAAACGCGTTTAATCGAAATAACTTATACGCCGTTTGACCTTGTTTATGTTTATTTTTATAAGGTAATAGGGAAAAAAGGATAAAATCTTTGATTTTTAAACTATGATGGCATCTTTATTAAAAGTTTCAAGAAAATATATTTCTTAAAAAGGAATTAAGGATAATGTTAAAATGAAATGATTAGTTTTAAAATTCTAAAGAAAGTTGGTTTTAAAAATGTTTTCCTAGCCTATTCTAAAAGTCATTGGAATGCCCAGTAGTTGGCACGCGGATTGCCATAAATCATTTGAACTCGTTTGAAAATGCAATAGAAATGACGCAACTGAGGAAAAATGTTCATTTGTAGCACAAAGGTGGGAATTAGATCAGTACTTAAAAGCGGATTTAAATGAGTAATTTCAATGCCTAATTTACATTACGGTTATCAGTATGTTAAAGGGAAACCGTATAGTTATTAGTTATTTTTAATATATTTTCTCATAACAGAAAAATCCTCATAATTTCCTTTCGTTATACTTATATTCATGCCAAAACAATAATTCTAAAATCTGAGACAGTTTTCATATAGATATACCTCACCATAATCTTTCCCTTCCTCAGATTTCCCACTTTCACAGTAGTCTCGCCCCTGCAGGAAGTCATTAAGCTGCCTAAGGCTGGGAATAAATAAAGTTTTCCCACCCACTTCGGCAGCCCATAGCAAAGCTATATAAGGTGCCACCCCGCGGCAGATGCAACTTTATTAAAGTCGACAAAAACAAAATAAATTTACGTGTAAAAACACTTCAAATGCGAGAACATCGAAATTGTCGCAGCAGCAGCCAGCCAGCCCAATGATGATCTTCAGATGCAACGATCTGTGGATGCAACAAACTGTGGATGCAACGGTAGATGATACCAAAAATGGAGCACAGAAGTTGGTGGCATGCGGTGGCTAATGTATCTAATAGATACAAGACAGCATGTCAAATGCAGCCATTGAAGCAAGGTATGAAATTGGATGGGTGGCGAGGGGTGTTCTTGAACAATATGCAATCTCGCACTGAGAGAAAAGTTAATGTATATCTTTGGTTATATCTTAGTAGAAACTAAAACAGGGATTATTACCAGTTTTGATTAGTGAATAAGAGGTAAAAGTTTTTATTAGGCCCAAAGATAATGCAAGAGAAGGAGAATTTTATCATTTCATAAGGAAATCTATTAGTAAGATATTATTTTGATTCCTTATTTATAGTACTTAGAGTCATCATAGTACCATAGTTTAATTATAACCAAAATATCTTTATTTAGAAGTGTTAATCATTCAATCTCTTCTTCTCCCAGTGTAAAGGGGAGTTTCTCTCCTCTCTCCACTTTTATCTCCACCTCAGCCCCAGGTCTGGCCCCACCTCGGCCACATTCTCTTCGCTCCTCGTGCTTCTCTAATTAACATTGGGATTGTAGTACGCTTTTAATTTATATCTTATTGATGCCGGCGACATTTGTATTTATTTTTACCCAGAGACCCTCTCGATATATATATATATAAACTATATCCAACAGGGGGAGGCTGGGTAGGTACTGTCCAAAATTCACTTCCCAAATCTATGTTTCCTCTCCTATGTGTGTACGTGTGGAATGTTATTTTTATCGAGAGTCAACGAGAACAAAATGAAAATTGTGGAAAGCTAAAATTTATATGGAATAGGTGTCGCATCTTGATATTTTGGGTATAATTATTGTTAATATTTCTTGCTGCCGCTCTCTCTCTCAGTTCGTTTTCCTTTCCTTTGTTGTTGTTTTTTTATATCTATACTCTAATTAAAATATTCGGTTGTTTTGCGCTTGATATATCTGCCTTTAGATATAGATATGTACATATATTTTAATGCCACGATCTGTCTAAATGATTTTTGTACGCATTTCAATGCTAGAAAGAAATTGCTATGAAAATCTAAAACTAATTCGTGGGCGGGGGGTTCAAGTTTATTTTTGATAAAAAACAAGAAATTTCTGTATTTTCAGGTTGCTTTTAATGGTTTCTGTTTATGACATTTGTAAGATTTTTTTTGTATTATTTTAGAGGAAAAGTTATTTCAATTTATTTCTATAGAAAATCATTTTCCTTTTTGTCAATTTCTATTTTTTATTAAAATTTAATCAAACTGTTAAAATATTTTGAAAATATGAAAAACTCTTTTTAAAACTGTTTTAAATCGATAAAGTCTCCCATCTATATAAGATATTTGTTATTTGTAAGTTCAAAAAACTAAGACTGATCAATAATTGAAAGACCTGATCTCCCCCACTGCCTAGTTTTTCCATTTTCCAGCCTATTCTCCTACTCTCCCCTTTAATGGAGTCATCTTAGACTGCCATTCCAAGGCCTAATAGGGGGATATATCAGCCATAGCATAAAGTCCCCGATCAGAGCCGTGGCAAATGACATTTCATTTGTCTTGCAGCTCTTGCGGCCCGGCCAAGCGGGTTTTCCTAGAGTTTTTCCAGGCAGTTGGGGGCAGGTGAGGGAAGTAAGCATTTGCGTTGGCGACCAGCATTCGATGTCAGGGATGAGTTATGAAGGCTCGCATTGTGCCATGTACGAAATAAAGCTCTCAGTTCCGGTGATCTCTGGCTGAGTTATCAAAGTGAAAAATAGAAACATGATTATGAAATTATCAAAAGAAATGCGTGTACGTGTGGAAATGGTAGGGGGAAAAAGTCATAGCACATAGTGTGTCAGTAAGAGATCTAGAGAGAGAGAGAGAGAGAGCAATCTTCGGTTGGGTGGCGCTTTCGTTTTGCCTGACATTACCCCACGGCCTTAGATTGGATGGAATTTGTAGAGGCAACGGCGGCATAATTAAAATCAACAACTAAGAGGGGGAAGATGGAAGGGTAACGAGAGATTAGATACCCTGGAAAACTTGGAATTATAGGATTAGGGAGACGATTTCCCTTAGAGAGTTCCCTAAAATATGCCTTTTTAAGACGTTAACAGTAACTAAAAGTTTAAAATTTTTTTAAAATATTAATAATTAAGAAAATTTAACTGTCTCTTTATATTTAAGCCATATTCTTTACCATAAAATCTATAAACTTAAAATAAGATTAAGATTAAGTTAAAATTTTCTTATAACTTTAAAGTTAAAAATCTATCTACTGGCTACCATCTGTAATTTCGTGGATCTCCGCGCGCAGCAATCTTTGCTCTGCCTACACACACGCGACTTTCCATCTCTTTCTCTATGACCTATTGCTCTCCTTTTCTATCGAACGTGTGTGTGGACAATGGAAATGATCGAGGTAAATATGACTGTACATATGTACGTTTATCTGTACCGCTCAACTCACCTTGCGGCGCACGAATTAAACGCCGAAAGAAAGAAAGAGAGATAGCGTGAGAGAGAGAGAGAGTGAGAGAGAGAGAGGGGGAGAAAGATCAAGAGAGCGTTTTTTTTTGAAGATGATACACGAACCATGAATTTAATTATGATAGAGGAGAAGAAGAAGAAGAAAAAACAATTTTATGGCCAACAAAAGCACGCAAATAGCGGCTTATAAGAGTATTAGTACGGGTCAGTAGGTGTAGTGGTATGTACCCCGATGTATGAGTGTGTATTGGTGCGGTTACTATATCTGTTATTATGTAAAATAAGTTTGGAATTAGGTACTGGACGGTGTATGAGTGAGTATCTGTGGAATGTCCGTCTGTCGGCCATCGTTTTTGTCTACGAATTAAGTGCCGTTGGCTCTATTACTCGCCTCTCATAAACCAAAATGGCGGCGATCACATTGCACAAGGTACAGTTGCCTCCAAAGCTTAGTGGACATACATAACTCATAAGACTAACTTGTATGCTTATTACGTAGTTTGATAGTCGGTTTTAGTTAGCCAAAATCAGATGTAGATGGAGTTTTAGTGTTTTTTATTTCATATTTCTTAGGTATTTTTGGCCTTTAAAAGTTGTTAGATTCCAAACTGAGGTACTAAAGAGATTACATCTAATAAGTTTAAAGATAGTTACATAAGCTAAGATCTTAAAATGCGAATCATAGTGTAATTTTTCTTGATTTTTAAACTAATTTCAGGACTTTCCCTCTAACAGTATTCAAATTACCAACCTCCTGTCTAGTCGCATCTACAAATTTCTTTGCAGCAGCCAAAGACAGCAAGAAAGAAGTTGAAATTAACTTGGACTAATGCTGCAGCTACCGTAACACATTAAAATTATTTAGTAATTCCTTCTCGCCTTCAATTAGTGAACCCGGCCAGGCAGTCTTGGGCCAACGGTTGTACTTCACCCATCATCAGTGGCAGAGTTGAATGAACCAGGCCAACACCAATACCAAATACCAAATCGGAGTTGGTCAGAGCTCTGTTAATTAGCCAGAAGCGCAGGCAAAACGGAGACCCGAGCACCAAAAATGCTAATAATAATGATGCCGCGAGAGTCAATCAATCATTTTGCATTTGCCGAAAAACAGTTTCACAGTGCAAAAAACACTTACACACATCTAACCATTTATCTAACAATCTAACTAACAATCTAACACACAATTTAGCCGCTGAGAGGTC